AAACAATATATTGGAAGAGAATTTCTCCATTCCATAATTCTAAGTTATCTTCTCATAATTTGTTTTCATTTTGATATTTTAAACATTTCTTTTCAGTATTTGAAATTCATGGCTTATCCTAGATTTGTCTGAACCCACTTTTTCTATACTTTAAATTTAAAATTAGTTATTTAGGGGAAAGAGAATTTGCGATGAAAGTTTCTTCCGTGTTATGGCATCTTCTTAACCTGCGCAGGTTCCTTCATACATTTGTTTTCCGCAAATTTTGCATAGCAATAGTTATCCTATTGCGAAAGTTATGCTTAATATGTACAAAGAAATTTAATAGGACAAATAGTTTTCATTTAATAGGAGTGCGGCGTAAACCAGGACCCATTCATTGTATTTTGATTGAATATATAAAATAATTCGTTCCGAATGATAAATTTTAGTTAAGCGTCGGAATAACTTAAAGAAAGGAAAGATTTATATAAAATTTCATTTGGTTCCATATTTTTGGTTATCCCCATTATATCAAATCGTTTCCTTCTGTCTTTGAAAAATTGTACTTTCTCCCTCTCTGTACACTTATCCATTTCTCTACGCCTCAGTAGACATGCTTTAGGAGTGTACGAATCATTGACCCATCTTGGTTTGCTCCGACTGACACACGCCAGTATTCCATCAGAAGTAGATATCAGCATTAAATTTATTTATTTTTTTTATCCTCTCCACTTTGAAGAGTCAACTTCTACTTGATAATTCTTGGATAAACTCCAGAGATTCTTTCTGGATTCCTAATTTTTTTCTTCCTCTCCTCCCTTCGCTTACCTTCTCTGAGAAGATCCTTTATGATGATAGCAATAGCTGGGGACATTTGGTGAAGACATGGTCTGTTAAGGGGAGAGTAAATATGCATTACTCAAACAAAACTTGACTTTTTCCCGAAGACGATGGCAAAAAATTTATTTTCATCTTGCACGCCTTTCCTTTTGTTCGATTTTTATTTTTGCATTTTAGAATTTAAAGTGAATTGTTTTTTTTTTTTGGGGGGGGGGGGGAATAGACAGTGTTTGAACTCTTGATGTTCAGAGTTGCTCTTAAGTGTTTTTCTTTTTACTCAGCTTCCTTTTATTCCCTGAATTGCTCTCTTAATTTTAAATAGTTCTTTCTTTTTCTTTTTTTTTAAAGCATTCTTATGGTTTTTTATTTTTATTGTCTGATTTTTCTTTTTGTGAAAATATCGAAGCTGTGACTTTAAGCCTTAATATTCTCCATGATTTTTCCTAGTGATGCTCTGTAAAAAAAATTATGTAACTTTTTTTAATATTTTATTTCTTACGATTTTATTCATCGAGAGTCTGTTACTGGTTTCATCAAGGAAAAGAAATTATAGACGCGTGTGCTTTTGGGGGACTTTTAACTTAGGAAGGTTAGCTACGACTTTGGTAAGCCATTTCGGCGACTCTCAATCTGCTGTACATTTGATCTGATTTTGCTTTGTTTTACTTTGTTTGAAATTTTTCATTTTATTTCTTTAAATAAAGTATGTAGTTTAAGACCTTCCAGGTTGGAACTGCTCGATGGATCGCGGGGTGGCGGCGGTCTTGCTGCTGTCGACCCGGTTTAGACTGAGTCTGCAGGGGGTTTGGCGCTGCAGCCCTTCAGGTTTTGAACCAGTAGTTTGTTCCTTGGTTTTTGTCGGGTCTCCTTTACTCTCAATCGCGACTATAGTGCTCTATTTCTTGCATGACTCGGGACCTTGCCCGGTGTCCGCGTATTGCTTGGTCTTCGGCCTGGGCTAGATTCTGTCAAGGCGATGAGGCATCCAATACTTGACGTATGGGCCCATTGGCCTGGGACGCCGTATGGAATTCCTTAGGAAGGTTAGCGTGTCCCTTTAAAATATCATAATTGTCTCCTGACGTCTTTTCTATTTGTTCGACTAGACACTATTGAACCCTTAATTCTTTTTGCATGTTTGTAAATGATGGTTTTTTCGAAGTATTAAATGTATCTTTATTTCAGTGATTAGATCCAATTTCTCGCTTTTCCGTCTAGTACAAAATGATCTAAAATCTTCATCGTGGAATGGTGACAGTCAAGCCATTAAAGAAAGTCTTTATCATAAAAGATTAAACGTAGGGCGCCATACCACGGGAGAAACTTTTCGTCTCAAATTCTCTTTACATCCATTACTAATTTTAAAGAAAGAAGAAGTGAGTTCACCCAATCCTCGAATAAGCCCTAAAGTTTCAATTGCTGGGGAAAAAATTCCAATTGTGAAAATACAAACAAATTATTGGAAGAGAACTTCTCCATTACATAATCCTAAGTTACCTTCTCATAATTTGTTTTCCTTTTGATATTTTGAGAATTTATTTTCAATATTGAAACTTCATAGCTTACTCTAAGTTTGCCTGAACTCATTTTTTATAAACTAGTTTTGAAAGAGAATTCGTGACGAAACGTTACTCTTGTGGTATAGCGTCCATTAGTCGTCATTCTTATTTCTGATTAAAAGATATTAATATATATATTTTTATCCTTATCTTTCCGTTAGTACATTAATTTATGAATTAGGTGGGACGTTAATAGCATGGAATTTTTCACTTCATCCATTAGGGATGTTTTGGTTTTATAATACAAAGGGAGACCAGATCGCCATTTTGGTTAACGTAGAACAGAACATAAGAATTAACAGATTTATGGCGAATTCGAATGTAGGAAACCTTATTTTTCAACTTGTTTTCCTGATGATATTATCCTTAAATATTTTATATATATATATATATATATATATATATATGGCACCCTTTTCTCTTTTTTGAATGACATTTT